ATACAGACTCATTGTGTTAACTGATACTAATATCTCTCTCTCTTGATACAGACTCATGTGTTAACTGATACTAACATATCTCTCTCTTGATACAGACTCACTGTGTTAACTGATACTAACATATCTCTCTCTTGATACAGACTCATGTGTTAACTGATAGAGAATATGTTAGTATCAAGAGAGAGATGTTAGTATCAGTTAACACATTGAGTCTGTATCAATTGAGTCTGTATCAAGAGAGAGATATGTTAGTATCAGTTAACACATTGAGTCTGTGTGTTAACTGATACTAACATATCTCTCTCTTGATACAGACTCACTGTGTTAACTGATACTAACATATATCTCTCTTGATAGAGACTCACTGTGTTAACTGATACTAACATATATCTCTTGATACAGACTCACTGTGTTAACTGATACTAACATATCTCTCTCTTGATAGAGACTCACTGTATATTACCCAGTACAAAGGTCATGCCACTAATCACACAGTTCATAATTAAAAAAAAAAAAGAGGTTAGTTTCTATCTGATAGAAATACATAAAAGTAATAAACATTGGAATTAAATCTTTTTAGCATAAAAAAAACCTAACCAATGAAAATAAAACAGCTGGGAAAAAAACACGAATTTTAAATAGAAATCTAAAACAAGATACAAACTTTAATCAGACAGTAGGAATTCAGAACAACAAAAACAAGCTAGTCCCACCCCCGTTAAGAACAAATATATTGTCGATGAATAATTTCTTTTGGTGAGTCAAGTTACTCGAATACAAGCTGTACGATGATTCTTTACAAACACCATATAATAACAAGTTTGTCCAGGCTGCCACAAACTAAATGTAATTTCGAGAATCTGAAATAGCAAACAGGTTCCTAACTAGAAATACAATCATAAGAAAGCCGCTATTATAACAAGAAACAAGCAATGTACGTGGCTTATCGTTTTCCTCGCTACATCAACTGGCATCTCGGCTCGATAATCCACAGCAGGAAACAGCTATTATACTGGAGTTGAAGCACTTGGCAGGTCATGATACATTTATAACAACAACAAAGTAACTCGTACTCGCCAAATACTAACCCATTTATGTTTGTTAAACGTTCCTCCCGTCTGTAGCCCCACACTCCCTCTGAGTGATAACTAATAACAATCTCTCTGTGCTGACTAGAAACCGAAATTGACAACTTATGTTTCCGGCACGTGGTCTTACACACACACACACACTACTGCCGTTTAAATACACTTGGCACTTTAAGCCTGAGAAATTTTACTGTAAACATCCTAAGTTGTACAAATATAAACCCAACGTGCACTGGTGTGTGTTTCAACAGCCAAAAGGAATGTTCGCCATCTTTTTTTTAAATAAATATAATAGTTGGAACTTACACGTACTAAGCGGACATCCCTAAAAATGTAAAATGAAGCGATTAATTATTAGGTCTAATTAAAACATCCGATAACTACACTTGCACGTGTATTAATCTTGAAAATGAAATAAAACCTTTTTTTAGCTTTTCGTATAATTTCAAATTTTATATATATGATACACTAATAAAAAATAATAATTATTATTTTACTGTAAAACTGAATTAAAACATAATTTAAAAAATATGTCTATATTTTGTGTGAAGGAAGTGTTGTTCACATTTACTACATTATCAATGGATTCACCTTACAGCTGCTGCCATCTACAGGGCATTATAAAAATATTAAAAATATGCCAATTATAATTATATGTATTATTTTCGGAAGACATTATAAATTTACAGAGGTAATGTGTCTTGCTTCTGTGCATATCCAAAAATTAAAATATACTTTCGCACGTGACAAAAAACGTGTAGAGCTTTAAGACGCATACGTGCTTAATTAAACTACATATGTTTCAAAATTAAAGCATCGGTTTCTTGTTAAGCACAAAGCTGCACAATGAGCTATCTGTGCTGTGCCGACCACGGGTATCGAAATCCGATTTCTACCATTATTATAAACCACCAGACTTACAATTAAGCCACTGGGGAGTGGGTGGAATAAAACAACAGCAGAATTTCGATCGTGAAAGCTAATTACATAGTTAATAAATGTAATTATTATAAGCCCCCAGACTTACAATTAAGCCACTGGGGAGTGGGTGAAATAAAACAACAGCAGAATTTCGATCGTGAAAGCTAATTACATAGTTAATAAATGTGATTATAAAAGAAGAATAGAGAAATACAAAACCATTTCAAGTGACAAACTGACATTAATCCCACACAGTTTGCCAAACAAAATATTACCTACCGATTCTTAACAGCTAGCCAATCAGGCACAAACCATGAAACTGGTACTCCCGGATAACTACTTTCTGGAAGAACTGAATGGGAAAATTCTCTCTGAGAATGTATTTTTGGAAAATATTAGCAGGAACGTCGAGAGCCAGCACGGGACAAACATCCTCTCCGGGCCCCCTTTCTCTCTCTCTTTTTTAACATTTT